CTTGAGAAAAAGCCGAACGAGTCGATCCACCTCATAAAAACCGTCCTCGTTACTCTCTGTTGTCAGTGCTAGACGCCTAGCTGGAGGCCGACCTGGTGTACGTCGAACAGGTACAGTAGCCATAGTAGTATGTAAATCCAAAAGGTCCAACAAGGACAGTACAGCTAGTACGTGAGAACATACCCATCCTGAGCGGATAGAGCCCTCGCATGTACATTGCTAGAAATTCCGAAGTCGTTCGACCGTCTCATGTGACCAGATCGGTAAAAGTTCGAAAGGGGGTGGGTAGTCTTGTTGCTTTACCATCACTCTGTGCAGAGAAAGCAGCTCAAACTCTAACTCCAAGTAAGTGATTCGTCTGGGGAAACGACCATCGAGAGACTTCAGGAATTTAGACGCTCGTTCATTGTCCACATCGGCTCCAAGCATACCTTGACCACCAACGATATGCTTTGTAACGTTAAATACAACGGCACATAGGCGTCGTAGACGTCCTCTGCCTTTGTAGACGAGTTTGTAGTTACGTTGGGTAGCAACCAGAAGTTCAGCTTTTGTCATCATTTCGGGTGGAACGGGACCTTCGCTGAAGTGGGTGACCTTAGGAGGGCAACGATCCTCTCCATCAGCCTTGAGAATTCTAGGTAGAATACCGCTTAGTACGCTATTGGTGGATGCACGAGAGCTGGGAACGCAGGTTATCTTAATGACGCTGTGGTGCGGCTCAATCCCTGTTGACTCGGTAATACTCCTCCAACTCCGGCCCCGTTAACATGCCACTTATTCCATCTCTCACTCAGGTAAACTTCTTTGAACCAACTCGCATAGGCAGTCTCTCCGTTAGTGATCCAGTGTTCTGCAACTACCTCCGCAAGCTTAACGAACTGCTGGTGAGTGCGAGCGGCTCGAAGAAGATCAATTCCGGGCCTAATCATCTCGGCGTACAGCTCTGCATTCACCAATAGAGTTTTCTTTTGTTGCGAGTTCCGAACCATATGAGGCCAACACGTAATGAGAGTTACCTCTGGTCATACCTCACAAAAAGCAGACGCAATAGCCTCTGAGTGGTCGCGACTTCCAAACGCAACTTGTACTTCCACTCTTAGAAACGACAGAGCTCGTTCGCAGACAACCTCAAACATCATGGCGTATCCAGCTTTTGATTCCGTCCTGACGAACATATACACCCAAGGAATAAACCTGTGAACGTACTTGCTTTTGGACCACGTCAATCCGACGGAGCCACAGTCAACCACAGTCCACCCTCCAAAGTGTAGTTTATAAGTTCCATCAGTTGCACAGACTAGAGTCTCATCTTTATCTCTTACTGAACGGGTCACATTCCTGAAGACTCTTTGTGTTGTGACCACAACACCAAATGAAGTACCCCCATCAGGAGCTTGACCATCGAAGATGAATGTGTCAAGCACTATCATCTCATCCATCCGTCTATCGTTCGGGTCGTCTACGGCCATGAATTTTTCGCGAGTAGCACACACTCTCTGACTTGCCCCATACAGTAAAGGTTACGTGGTTCGAGATATCTCAACCATTAGAAGAGCTACGAACAAGAAATGCTTTGCGATTCTCAAGCTGTTTGCAGCTCGGTACCATGCAAAGGAATCTTGATTCGTTGCGGCATCGATGGTTTAGCATAGACCGAAGCTGCTTAGCTCCCCAACCCATGTTCAGCAACGCGTCCACTTCGTCTAGAAGTTGGGGATGAATTCCTCGACGGGTGACTGTAGTTGGCTGTGATCCGCGACTTCCAGTTCGTTCGAGATAATACTGTGTTGGGGCTTCGGGTTCAATTACAGTTTTGATTTTGAAGCGAACCCCGCAGTTGTTGTGCGAGCGGCAACGATATATGAGTCGATCGCTCTCGTATCGAGTTTCGTAGGTATAGATGTCATCGCTTCTGTCGACCATCGCCCTATATGCTGCTGAAAACGAGTCGAAGGTG